TTTATTATCATTATTACTATTCATTGCCACGATTATCAAAATAAATCTAGCTTTGAAACATATTTATAACTTCATAGATGTATATCTATATCTATAACTTATTATTCATTCCGCTTTATGAAACTTATTCATTCTACCCTATGAAAAATAATGATGTATTTTGCATCTCGTGCCATTACGTAGTTACCCGTGAATCTTGGACCAAATATCAAGTTTTGGTAAATGTATTTTTTTGGCACATTTGCTACACGAAACCTTGAATTTTCCATAAACATTGGTTAGTTACCTCACTTTGTACTTTTTGTTTTCGCAATTTCGTCCATAAGATTTTGTTTGTTACTTTTTTCATTCGTATAACAATGTATGTGTATTGTACAATATCATCTTGTTTTACATGTTCGTAAAAATATAAAATATATTATAAAATATATTTGTTTTTTTTTTGCACAATTGAATTTTCCGTAGTACTTGCTTCAATTTGTTAATAGTTTTTCAATATAGGCAAAGAATATAATTCTGTAATTACGTGTTACGTAGATATTTTTCATGGGACAATTTCGGACATTTTTAGACATTTTGACAAAAAAAGATGAATGATTTTCGTATGTCAGCTTCACGGACATCAATTTCGACAATTTAATCAAAATATTTTGATTTTTATTTTTAGATGCCGATGATTTAATTTGATTTTATTGGTCAAAAGACATTGATGTACGGAAATCATTCCTCAAAAAGCAAAATTTCATTAAGAATGGTTTAGTTAATTTTCTATCAACGTATAATGATAAATATTTATATCCAAAAGTAATATATAATCATACGTTTTGCCAAAAAGTTTTGAGCATCAAAAATGTACAACACTGATAGAATTTTTTGGGAAATTCACCGGCGTACACTTGTTTGTGCGAATGATATAAATTCAAAAGGGGGATCGGATAACGTAAAATGTGATTATTCCGGATCAGCCTGATGCGTGAGCAAAGCGAAGAAAAAAGAAAGAAAAAAAACGAAAACACAAGAAAATGTGTGTTTAAACCTGTCTTGGGGCGTTAATTAAAAATGACGGGAATGAAATTTTAATATCGGGATTAGTTATTTCTACAGCACCTAACTTCAACGTCGTAATCCTAAAGTTTTAATTTCACGAACTTTGTTTATTTTTTTGTTGAATTCCCTTTTTGGTGTTTGTATCACTCTCACAAATAAGTATTTCCAATTCATTCATTCATTCACCGTAAACATGATGTTTTATTTGCACATTGCAGTACTGCTGAATTGCAATACTGCTGAATTGTGAGATGTGACCATAAGCAAATAATCAGGAAACTTATATGTTGCATAACATAAACTTGTGAGCGCAAGCAGTAAATTGAGGACAAGCAGCAAATTGAATTACGCTCTTGACATTTACATTTAAAAATTCATCACAAATCCTTCGGGCAATTTCCGAAAATAGAATGTGCCCCAGTTTAGTGCCAGGTGCGTTTTCAATACCCCGCGAGACACGTACTTACGTAGCATATTATGTGAAGTAACATAACTCATACGGGGGGATCCTCAAAATTCCGGTTGGAAGGCATCGATATCCTGACCAGTTGGACCAGATTTGATCAATTTTGCCAAAATTTTATTAATGAAATCTTAGTTTCTCATCTAGTAAAAAATGCCCAGCTGTGCTAACCTGTATTGCTAAATGACAGCCTAGTTTGACCCGAATTTCGAGGATCCAATTTTTACAGGAGGATTACGGGTCGCGATCCATCGGATTTAGGCCAGCATTTGTCAACCATTTGTGGGCCAAAATTTTCAGCTGGGTAGCTTTACTTAATGGTAAAACTTTTATTGATCTTGGGCAAAATTAGTCAATCCCGGCTTTGCCGATTATGATTCCAAAGTATTCTGACTCGGAAATTTATAAGATCATAAAAATCATAGATCATAGTACATGTTTCTTTAAAGAAATTATTTTCTTTTATTTTAACTACAAATAAACAGAAACTAAAATAAATCAAAAAGGCAAATAATAATAATAGATATAAGAAAAACAAAAAATTAAAAATAAAATTAAAAATAAAATAAAAAAACTTTCATGTCTCATACGATGGTGTAACTAAATCTACCAGATACGTTTATATCTGATATATATTACCAAAGTAGAGAACATAGATTATGTTTAGAATGGGAAAGGGTAATCTAACGTATATACATCAATATAAAAGGGCAAAATAAAATGGCAATCTTTATTCACTGGCAAGGCTCATAGTGATGGATAAAAATGGATAGATAAAAAGG